TATTACTTTGATGAGTTTTTTTTAAAATTGAGTGGGGGTGCCATATGGAACTCTTTCCGTAACTTATACTTTATAGGATTTAAGGTTAAGATATTTAAGTAAAGAAGTTATTTTGTCTAACCACCAGTCTTTGACATAAATTCATAAATGCATGCTTTTGAACATTCAGTTTTTTAAGTTTTTATCAAGTCTTATGCTGATTTAAAGAATATCATTAAAGACAATTATTTTTAAAATTAAAATAAGTTAGCTCATTTGTGTGTATGTTGAAATATTCTTATGCACCTTGGTGTCTATCTTGTTTTGTAAAAATTAAACATTTTTCAAGGATGTACGAGTCTGAATTTTGAATTGTTTATAGTATTGTGCTTCATTCAATACGCTAAGATGCAGATATATTCAATTCATCATCATTTTGATGTTTTACAGACATTTGACGTGGTAGAAGCTTAAAAGTTGTTTAATATTCAGTAGTACCATCTTTCAACACTTTTGGTGCCTGATAAACCTTGTAAAAGTTTAAAAAATGCTGATATTTTTCTACTATATAGCAATGATTTATATTTTTTTCAAATTTTATTAATAGGCTGAAAGAAAAGCAGTGAATAAGTACTACCCCCCGGACTGGACTCCTAAAATGGGTTCTATTAACAAGTATCGAGGAACCCATGCCTTACGTGAACGTGCCCGAAAACTGAGTCAAGGGATTCTTATTATCAGGTATTTCTAACTTTTATTATAAGGAGATTTTGAAAACAAAAATTAAAGTTGCACTGACTGATAAAATAAAATGCTTTTCATAATAAACGATTGGATAATGTCGGTTGAAAGTGAATAAAAAGAACATGTTTAAAGTTTATTTCAAACTTAGAGTAGCATACAAGAATCAGTCCAGAGTAGAGAAAGACTTACAAATGATAATTAAAAAAATTTTTTTTGCTGAATTTTATGACAAGTCACTCTGGGTTTTCTTTATTAGGTTCGAAATGCCGTACAACATTTGGTGTGAGGGCTGTGGGAACCATATTGGCATGGGAGTGAGATATAATGCTGAGAAGTCTAAAGTTGGCATGTACTACACAACCCCTATCTACAAGTTTCGGATGAAATGTCACTTGTGTGATAATCATTTTGAAATTCAGACAGATCCACAGGTACTGTTGTTACTTCTACCAAGTTTCTGTGCTGTCTGGTTGTCTTTAACAAACTATTCCCCCCCCCTTTTGGAGTATATATTATTTTGTGTGGAATAGAAATGGAATCTATGCTTATTTCTCGCTTAGCTTATGACTTGTCATCCATATCTCTTTCCAAGTTTCTTTATTCAACATTAAATCAAATTTCAACTAATGCTGCAACAACTTTCTACACCATATAATATAAATACCTAAATTCTATGACAATCGAGTCTTTCAAAGTGGTTTGTGTAAATTCAAAGCTATTTGTAACATCCTCCTTCACAAAGACTCCATTTATACAATTAATACTTTAAATTGTTGGCACTTGGTGAAACTCCATAATTACAGACTTGAATGAAGTAAAGAGAGAGAGTTTTGTCTTTCACAAATATTTATTATTTCATCTGAGGAGGGATCTGACAAAGTTTTAAAGTGTTTTGGACACCAAACTAGTTTGTAAGGTTACAATACTGTAATCCTGAACATGAAATGATGTCAACTATCATCAAGTAACATTGTTTTTTATCACATAATGGTTGTGTTTGAGCTGTAACATTGTTTTTGGTACATAATGGTTGTGGTTAAGCTGTAACATTGTTTTTTATCACATAATGGTTGTGTTTGAGCTGTAACATTGTTTTTATCTCATAATGGTTGTGGTTAAGCTGTAACATTGTTTTTGGTACTTAATGGTTCTGTTTGAGCTGTAACATTGTTTTTGGTATTTAATGGTTGTGTTTGAGCTGTAACATTGTTTTTGGTATTTAATGGTTGTGTTTGAGCTGTAACATTGTTTTTGTTACTTAATGGTTGTGTTTGAGATGTAACATTGTTTTTGGTACTTAATGGTTGTGTTTGAGCTGTAACATTGTTTTTGGTACATAATGATTGTGTTTGAGCTGTAACATTGTTTTTGGTACTTAATGGTTCTGTTTGAGCTGTAACATTGTTTTTTTTATCACATAATGATTGTGTTTGAGCTATAACATTGTTTTTTATCACATAATGGTTGTGTTTGAGCTGTAACATTGTTTTTGGTACATAATGGTTGTGTTTGAGTTGTAACATTGTTTTTGGTACATAATGGTTTTGTTTGAGATGTAACATTGTTTTTGGTATTTAATGATTGTGTTTGAGCTGTAACATTGTTTTTGGTATTTAATGGTTGTGTTTGAGCTGTAACATTGTTTTTTTTTATGTAATGATTGTGTTCGACTCTCATGATCTATAATTTTGTATTAGTTCTTACAACTCTTGTTAGCACATAAGAGGTTGTCAGAAATATAAGATTATTATGAACTAGGAATGATAATGGGAGGTGGGGGGGTAGAGGTTGTCAGAGATATTGGTAGGAGGGAGAGATAACTTTTATTACATATAATCTTTGAGGGTAATTTGGCCAAGGATGGTCAAGAGGACAAAATACCACATGCATGTGTATCACACAAGTCTAAAGCACCACTGTCCAGATGTTGAGAGTTTTGTGAGTATTGAAACACAGGAAGGAAAATAACTTATCACACAGTTTAAAAAACTTTTACTTTAAAACTGTTTTAGCTATTGTATAAAACTAGTTAAAAGAAGTTGTTTGAGGCTTGATCTTTGATAGGGAGTAAACACGTATACTTATTTTAAAACCATCAACTTGATGGCCGGTTTCTTACAAGATGAAGTGTTTTTATTTTTCACAATGTAGGTGTATTACACAGGCTAACATTTAACCAGGTGTTGCTGGTTTCACCTATTTTCCTAGAACCTGGACTATGTGATCCTGAATGGAGCCAGAAGGCAGGAACGGAGGTGGGATCCAATGCAAAACCAGCAGGTTGCTCCAGATGGTGAGGCTGTCTGTTCCGATCATCCATGTTCCATAAAGATTTATAGATAGTTTTACATACGAGTGTGTATAATAAAAAAAAAAAGTTTTATTTCTCTTTTCATATTTAATTTATGTATGAAATATTTCTAAACATGAAGGGATGCTTTCACAAACTTTCTCTGGACCTGTACCTATAAGTCGTGTGTGTGTGTGTGTTTGTATATGTACTTTAGATGTTGGTACGTATATTTACTTAAGAATTGTGTACATGTACTTGATCAATGTGTGTTTTTCCTTACACCAGTACCCATGTATACATTTATTTAGAAGATCAAGATTGTGAAATGTTCAAAAAGACAGTTTCTAAATAGTTAGATCAATATATATATATATATTTATATATATATTACATCATTATTCACAGTCCTCTGAAGTTGGATGTGAAGATTAAAAGCAGTTGAGATTACAACTTGCAAAGCTGCTAACTGGGTAGATGCATTAATCAACAAGCTTGCCACTTTTTAAATGCCATAAACTTTGCTGTTTTCATTTCAATGATTATCAAAGATGAAATGTCACAGGTTTTTTTCGAGTTGTGGCATGAGCTTATAAAGCATGGAATCCATTTAGGTTTTGTATTCAGTGATGCGGTCAAAATCTCAAAGTCTGCTTGTTGCTGTAAATTGAGTCATCAAATAATAAAAAACTAAACAGATTCTAAAACTAAAGCATGCAGTATTTGGGAAATGACAGCTTAATTGTGTAAAGCATCTGCCTGGTTACCATAGTTGCAGGCTCAACTTATTCTCAGTCCTCACTTCTTCGTAAATAATCAACTAAAATTAGAAATGTGGTTTCAGAAGAAAGAAAATCTAACTTTTTTATGTGTATAGACAAAGATGTGAGCAACAAGCTAGCTACGGATGCAATGTTTCGAATAGAACATGGGGTAGAAGACAAAGCAAAACTGAAATCTTTGGCTCCATCATTGGGACAGCTGGAGCAGCATCAAGATAGATGGAAAGATCCTTACTCCATGAATAAGCTATTGAGACAGAAGTTTAGGGTAAGTTGTAGAAATAATATTTAAAGAACTCTAAGCATGTGAAGCAGTGAGAAGTAATGACATTTCATGTTCACAGTATGCATCACGTTTATTCCACAAACCTTTTTTTTTTCTAATTGTTGATTTTTTGAAGGGTTTTCATTATACATTTTGTCAGTGTTTGATTAATTCAACTACTAACTGGATTAACTAGCTGTTTTGTTTTTTTTTAGTAGGCAAAACAAATTTAAAACGGAGACACTGCACATTGTAAAATTTTCTCATTAATCATAACATTACTCTGTCCTAACAAGAAGTGGAGAACAGAAGTAGGAAATATAACTTTACCGCAACTTTTAACTTGGTTTTTCTTCAGATACATCATCAGATTTCTAACCCTGATTATAACTTTACCACAAGTTATAACAGTGGTTTTTCAATAGATACATCATCAGATTTCTAACCCTGATTATAACTTTGCCACAAGTTATAACAGTTGGTTTTTCAATAGATACATCATCAGATTTCTAACCATGATTATAACTTTACCACAAGTTATAACAGTTGGTTTTTCTATAGATACATCAGCCCCCCAGTGGCATGTTTGTGGACTTGCAATACTAGAAACTTGGTTTTGATACCCATGGTGGGCAGAGCACAGATAGTCCATTGTGTAGCTTTGTGCTTAACTTCAAACAAACAAACAGATACATCATTAGATTTCTAACCCTAATATTAGCAGTTTCAGGCAAGTAATGTACAAAGACATAATTTTCATATAGCATGATTTTTAAACAATAGTTAGTTTTTTCTAATTACGACTTCAAACTCAAAGCACATTACAGTTTCGGGTCGAGAATTTCCATGTAGCATAGTTTATGTAATTACAACTTCATTATTAGGCTTAGTCATTCTAATGTGATGACTCAAGCTTGAAATGTATCCCAGAATGTCACTTCCAGCACATTGATTTGTTGCCCGTTCAGTAAAGCAGTTCAAATTACCAGTGAATACGTTTTCTTAAAATATTTTCTTTTATTTTGTAAACGGTTTTAGTTATTATGTGTAATAAGCTCAACTCAAGAAATGTTTAACTGTATTGTTTATATTTTTATACCATTTATGTGATAGTGTACACAAACACGTATATATATAACAAACTCATAAAATATATTTCATTAATCTTACTGTTTCTTTACTTGAAAATCAGTTTTAAATTGAAGTAAAAAAAAACTACAAGTTTACTTTTTTATTATTTGTATGAATTTTTTTGCATTTTTGATCACAAAAAAATCACTATACCAGGTTGTTGCTTCTGTACTTTATTTTCTTATCCATGTATCCCCTCCCGTCATAGCTCAGTGGTAAGTTGGTAGGCTTACTATGCAAAAAATTGGGGCTTGGTACCAGTAGTGGGCAGAGCACAGATAGCCCATTGTGTAGTTTTGTGCATCCTTCATGTAATGATGTAATCTATTGTAATTATAACCTCTGATTCATGTTTGTTTTGCTATTATTGTATAGGAAAAAAAGAAAGAGTTACTTGTGGCTGAAGCCAGTGACAAGGCTCTACTAGAAAGATCATCTTTGGACATCAAATTGATGCCTGAAACAGATGATGATGTAAAACTTGCTGGATTGTTAAAATTAAGCTCTACAGAAAGTAAGTTCTTTGATGAATGCTTGCAAGTTATCTGTGCCAGATATACTTGACTGTTTCCATTTAAGTATAGTGCAAATATTAAATTTTGTTATTTTTAGAATAGTTTATTGCAGGTTTGTTTACATAACTGTATGAATTATACATTGTGTAGTTGAATTGTTGTGAATTAGTGCTTGTTGTATTATTACATCATGTTAATAGAAAGTTCTAAGTTTTTCTAGATGTTTCAATTGAGTATTATTGCATAATATTATCACGTAGTATGTAGAATGTTCTTGGCCTCTATCAGTGTATAAATACACATACAAAATGTAGTTCAAGTAAGTCATAGTAGATAGATATATTTAAACTGCATGATTGTGAGTTGAGCCATTAGAGCTTATAGTAGTAAATTATCACAGATTGTATTGTGATAACAGAGTAGGGAAGAAATAATTTGTCTTATCAATTGTGTTCTAAAATAATTGTGGACTTTGAAAAGAGATGATTATTTAAAGCTCTGGCTGTAAATGTGGTAATCAAGAGTGTAATGAACATTTGTATTAGGTCATCAAGAAATTAATGTTCCTGTTTTTTTAGATGAAAAAAACCCGAACAACTTGTATATCAAAACGAAACATTTATTAAATGAAATAGTCTCCATTCTTATCAATGATGCTTTTCCATCTTCAAATAAGGTTGTTAATGCCCTGATTAAAGAAATCGCTTGGCTTTGAAGCGAAAAATGTGCTGATGTCCTCTTTAACACCTTCCACATTTGCATACGTTTTTCTATTAACATGGTGTTGCAGCAAACAAAAAGATTGTAATCTGATGGTGCCATGTCTGGAAAATATGGTGGGTGGGGGGAGAACTTCCTAACCCAACTCTGTAATCTTGTGTTGTGTAAAATGTGCCACATGTGGACGTGCATTGTCTTGGAGAAGAACACCTTTCCGATTGACGAGGTAAGGGTGTTTCTGATGAAGGGCTTGATTGAAACGTTCCAGTTGCTGACTATAGATCTCTGCTTTGACAGTTCACTGTGGACTGAGGAGTTCGAAATGCAAAGCATCACTTTCTGTGGATGGAGTCAAGGTTTTTGGGTCGGAAATGGTTTTTGTCTAGGACTGAGCCATTGTTTTTGGCATTTAATATTTGCAGAGAATCCATTTTTCATCACCAATGACAATTCTGTCCAAAAATGGTTCACACGCATTACGCGCCAGAAGAGATGAAGCAACGTTCACACATTGGAAACGATATTCATCGGAGAATTCGTGAGGCACCCGAACACCTTCTTTATGGAGAGTTTCCCATATTCCTTAGATTTTTATGTATTGTTTCGTGAGAGACATGCAATTTCAGGGCCATTTCACGAGTGTGTTACCTTGGGTTTAGACTCAACAAGCATCTTCAGAGCATCAATATCAATTCCAACATTTCGGTCCTTGCCATCATAGTTTTTGAGGATAAAGTCACCTGAATGAAATTTGCTGAATCATTTCCATAAACTTCTTTGATATTTTTTGTTGCTACAGAGGCGTTGTTTCCCTTCTTGTAGTCAAACAGCATTACGTACCGAATGTGTGTCTCGTCGTGTGCCATTACTATAAGTGATTAGAGTATACTAAACTTTACAGATTATATAGGCTACACGAACGTGACATTTAGGCGATTCGTTTAACTATTATACGTGATGTACGTTTTTTGGGGGGTGGTTAATGAAAGTGTTCCAAAACACAACATTAATTTCTTGACAACCTAATATATACATTTGACTTGTTTTAACATATTATTTTAAAACAAATGGACTGTGTGCTGTTTGTTTATTGTTGTAATTTCTCACCAACAAGTCACAGACACCTACTGTAAAGAAGCTAGCCCATATATACATATAAAAACCTTACAGATATCAGAGTACAGTCTTCAAAGTCACATTGTAATACTGTGGATTTTGTATTCTGAGTTGTGAACATTGTGACTCGTTGGTTACGTCATCTTAATACGTAGGGTTTAAAACATTTCTGATAAACTAATCGAAGTATAAAGGTTGTGTATCATAGTCGACTCATTAAGAAGTTATGGTCATTTTTAATGTACTGTATTCTAGCTTTTGAAGAACGAAAGAGACAAAAGAGAGAAGAAATCCAATTCAAGCCGTTGTTCAATGCTCCATCCTGTACAGCAAGAGAATCTACAACTTTTGGAAGATCTCTAAACTCGCTTGTTCACCCTCGGCAAAAACTTATTAGTTCTTTGGCACAGCAAAGACTACAGGAGCTGACTAAACCACTGACTCGCAAGGACTTGGGTATATTGCCTCGAAAACCTGAGAGTACCAGCTCAGCTCACGAGTCTGAGAACCAGGAAGAAAAGTCTGTAAAACCAAGATTGGCTCTCTTTGGTATCATCAGAATATGTGAGTGAAGATGAAGAAGATGTGTTAAAGTAGTGACTGATTCTCCCATGTTTCCACATGTGTAGGTGCAATTTGTTGATAACTTGTAAATATTGTATGATTATAGCCATATTATCAGTACAGTTATTTGAAAACTGAGTTACCAATGGTTTACTCTGTTATCATTTATAAAAATATAATAAGAACCTCATAAGCTCCCAAATTTATTTAATTTTTTTCTCCTATATTTCACATTATTTTCATAAAATCAGAAAATACGTATTTAATTAAGAAAAACAGACGATAAAGATCATTGTGTTATTCTTTAGGTTAAAAAAGTTTACGAAGTTTTCATATATGACTAGAAAAATCAGACTATTTATAGCCAAATAAAAGTATTTCATCATTATTAGCAAAGGTTTTATAATATTTTGTACAGTTTAAGTACATTTTTTTAGTCACTTTGAAATGGTGAGAGTTATTTCTGCTCTACTTAATTATCACTATCCAAAAGATATTATCATGAATGTTTGATATCCATCTGTTGTAGAAGTCTTGGAATCGTTTTCACTGTTCTTAAGTCGTGGCTTGTATGGCAGTGTAAATACTGCCAATATGTCAGAAGGATGGGATTAATAGAATGATATTACATTTGAATCGTTTTCACTGTTCTTGTTCGTTCTTAAGTCGTTGCTTGTATGGCAGTGTAAATACTGCCAATATGTCAGAAGGATGGGATTAATAGAATGATATTACATTTGAATCGTTTTCACTGTTCTTGTTCGTTCTTAAGTCGTGGCTTGTATGGCAGGGGAAATACTGCCA